ATGACAGAAGAATTGGTACTTTTGAACTGTGGTGTTGGAAAATAACACTGAACATCCTATGAACTATCAAAAGAACAAATAAATATGTCTTGGAGAGGGTGTAGCCGGAGTGGTCTTTGGAGGCAAGGATGGTGAAGCTTTGCCTCATATACTTCAGGCATGTTGTTAGGAAGGGTTATTCTTTGCAGAGGGAAATGATGTTCAGGAATGTAGAAGGTTGGTGAAGGAGAGGCAGATCCGCAACCTGGTGGACTGACAGGGTGACTACCATAATGGTCTCTAGTGTGTCTGGAAGTGTGAGAATGACACAGGATAAGACAGCATTTAGATCTGTTTTAGATAGGGTCACTATTGGGTGTACTTATATGATGTCATATAACAACAATGACATTTCTGGGTCTTTGTATAGTTCATTATACTATTTCATTTACTCTTCTCTAACTGCCGTTTGAATTCTTCCATTCAACATTATTTCATCTGATTTTATCAACTACTCTAAGCTTAAGATCAAGTTTCAAATCTCTTCTGACATCCATTTTAGGTCTTTTATTTCTCTCCTGTATTTTTATGACCTTTCCCCCTCTTTCTGAATGATGTCTTTGATGTCATCCCTCAACTCAACATGTCTGGTCTTGGTATTTCATATTTAATTCAATCAATCAATCTATTCTTAGCATGCACACTAAATAAACTCAGATGAATTCTGTGGGTTTCGTATAATTTTTTTGCTTCAATTTGACTTGTAAATGAATAATTAATGTCTGTTCAGGAGTCATTTTATGGTCTTTTTCTGATTGGTTATATTGAACTTCTCATCATCTCTTTCCACAAAGTTTATTTGAACCCTGTGTATTTGCTCTGATGAAGTCTGTACATTGTTGATATTTGCAAGTAACAAGTCATTGTCAATGTTGTTGTTGTGGGCTGTTGAGTCAGAACGAATCAGTATTTGACCCTCCATAGATTCCAGAGGTAGGAAATAGCATGGAAAGAGATGTTTGTCCTCCTCCCACAGAGCAGCTGGTGGACTTGAACCACATGACTTTGGGATCGCCATGCAGCTTCTGACCTTTAGGCCATTAGAACTCATTAAGTTATTAGTCATAAAAAAAAATTCTATCATGTAATGTCCAGTGTCATTTCTATCATGAAGGCCATATTTTACAAATACCAGGAGTTGCCTCCTTATAAAAAACTCCAGCCTCATGAGTAATCTATTTCTACCAATTAACTATAGAGATCTATATTTATTTCCATTCCCACAAAAAAGTGATCAAACAGAATGTGGAAGTTATCAAACAATTTCACTAATAATACATGCCAGCAAAATCCCACCAAGGGTTTTCCTAAAAAGACTGGAAGAGAGAATTTACAAAATGCAAGCTGGTTTTAGAAGAGGCTGTGGCACTAAGGGGATACCCTTGCCAATGTCACATGGATCTTGGTTGAAAGTAAAAAGCACTAGAAGAATGACTATTTGTGTTTTATTGATTACACAAAAGCATTTGACTGAGTGGATCACAACAAATTGGCGCTAACATTAAGAAGAATGGGAATCACAGAATACACCATTGTGTTCATGCAAAATCTATATTTAGATAAGGAATCAGTCATCTGAGCAGAGCACAGAAACACTGCATGTTTCAATCAAGAAAGGAAAACATCAGAGATGCCCGCAAATGTGAGATAAAGCCTCATCGTTCTTGCCTCCAAAGAGCACTCCATCTGTACCCTCTCCAAGATATATCGATTTGTTCTCTTGACCATCCATAGGATGTTCAGTCCTCTTCTCCAACACCACAACTCAAAGGTATCAATTCCTTTTCTGTCATTGTTATTCATTGTCCAGGTCCCAGATACATAGCAAGTGATCGGAAAGAATATGGTCTGAGTCAGATGTACCTTAGGCCTCAAACAAAAAGTATTAAGGAGTAATAATGTTAGTCTCTAACAGTAGATTTTCCTAGTGCAATGTGTCTCCTGGTTTCCTGACTGCTGGTACCAAGGATGTAATTGTGGATCCAAGAAAGATGAAGCTGCTGACAGTTTCAATCTCTTCTCCATTCTTCATGATGTTGCTTATTGGTACAATGGTAAGAATCTTTGTTTTCTTGACACAATGCAAACCATAGTGAAGGTTGCATTCCATGATCTTCAGCGACAAGTGCTTCAAGTCCTCCTCACTTTCAGCAAACAAGGTTTCCCTGTAGGTATATGTATATCCCTGTAGGTACATGTATATCATAATATGGGTTCCTGTGTGTATATGTATATCATCCCATCACTAACTGCACTCTTCTCTCCTAGTGGCACTACTGTGCTGCAATCTGAAGGCACGAGGTTCAAATTCACCAACTGCTCCATGGGAGAAGGATGGGCAGTCTCTTCCTGTGTGATTAACTGGGCCTGAAAATCCACCAAAGGGTCAGGGATGCATTGGTTTTGACTTGACTGTATACAACAACAACAATCACTAACAACATGGTATTTAAGATCTTGAAAGATCTTTTTTGTATATTAAATGTTAATATCATTTCTATTTAATTTGTCCTTTATAACATAATCAATCATATGATTTTCAACTTAAAAATGGTCACCACCAATCCATTTTAGCTGACTGATAGCTAGGACATCCACCTGTATTTGGTCCATTTTCATTTTTTACAATTTTCAGTTTTTCTACATTCAAGCTTTTATATTTTATATTGTATGTTTGCAGTTGTTTCATCTTCTTTTGAGCCATGCTACATCAGCAACTGAAGGTTCCGAAATCTTTACTCTAAATGTATCATAAAGATAAACTTCCTCCAGATGTATTTTTTTGGAAGCAGGAGTAGCATCCACTTCCTAAACAACATGCCTCTGGAAACTCTATGAACTTTGATAAATGTCGATAGTTGTAGAGGGGCTTTAGGCCTTTTGTTCATAGGGCCGTTATGAGTCGTGCTCAACTCAAAGGTAATCAACAACAACAACAACAGTTGTATTTTCAGTGTCTTCCCACCTGAAAGATTCCTCTTTCAGAGCTGTATGAGACAATGTTCCATTCATAAGGTTTTACTGATCATTGTTATTTCTCCTCTTGTATCTTTGTACAGAAGCTCAGCTGAACCTTTTCCACCATGGGTAACAACCCTACAAGTATTTGAAACAATGATGGCACAGCTTCCAAACACACAAACCACCACTGTATGGCAAACTGGCAGATAAGGAGATGAATTGTGATGGATAATAAATCTAATGGTATATTGCTTTTTCTTTGTGGGCAATACAAGGAGACACTACATGGTTCAAAATCAAGAAAGGGATACGCCAGGGATGCATTCTGTCTCCATACCTTTTCAATCTGTATGCAGAACAGATCATCTGAGACACTGGGCTGTATGAAGAGGAATGTGGCATCAGGATTGGTGGAAGAGTCATCAACAACCTGCGTTATGTGGACGACTCAACCCTTCTTGCTGAAACTGAGGAGGACCTGAAGCACTTGCTGCAGATGGTCAAGGACTGCAGCCTCCAATATGGATTGAAGCTCAAGATCAAGAAAACAAAGATTCTCACCTCTGGGCCAATTGGCAGCATCAGGATGGATGGTGAAAAGATTGAGATAGCTAACAGTTTTAGTTTACTTGGTTCCACAGTCAATATTCTTAGTAACAGCAGCCAAGAAATCAAGAGATGAGTCACATTGGGAAAGTCAGCTGTGAGGGACCTCTCAAGAGTACTGAAGAGCAATGATGTCAGATTGGAGACTAAGGTGTGCCTGGTCCAGGCTATAGTCTTAACAATTATGTGCTATGCATTGGACAGTTGGACAGTGAATAAGGATGATAGAAAGAGAATTGACGCCTTTGAGCTGTGGTGCTGGAGAAGAGTGTTGAATATACCATGGACTGCTAGGAGAACAAACAGGCTCGTCCTGGAGGTGAAGTCAGACTGCTCCTTGGAGTAAAAGAATCTGAAGCTTCGTCTGACATATTTTGGGCATGTTGCAAGGAGGGACTTGGAGAGGGACACAATGTTTGGCAGAGTGGAGGGGTGGTGCAGTAGAGGAAGACCTTCGATGAGACGGATCGATTCTGTGAGTGGAGTGGTGGGAATGAGTGCATTTGAGACGGCGAGGTTGGCAGAGGATAGAACAGCATTTAGGGCTCTTGTACATAGGGTCACTATGAGTCACAAGCTACTTGATGGCACATAACAACAACAACAACAATGTTACAACTGTTTGACTTACTACTTGGTTTTTGGGGTGCTTTTTTCCCTCTTTTTAAATGTTTTTTATTAATTTTAATGAAAGTTTATAGCGACTTAGGGTTTCCAGTCATTCATTGTTGCACTTTTCTCCCTGCCCACCCCGCCAATTCACTCTTCTCCCTGAAAAGCAAAAGAAAAACTCTTTCATTGTTATGCAATCCCTCCCCCACAAGTCCACTCCATTGTGCAGCCTTCATTCTGGACTCCTGTCATGACAATATTACCCAATCATATATCCCTTTTAAACAGTTCTCTCCTTCATTTGTTTCAATGCAATATACATCATTCTTCCCCTCCTTCTCTGTCTTCCCTCAACTTGTTGTTTTGTTTTGTTTTTTTTATATCATTTGTGGTCTTTTGACTTTTCTTTCCTATCATTTATTATCCATCCCTGAAATACAAACAAAAATGTACACCTATAGTTTCATCTAGAATATTTTTTTAAGCAGGAGAATATTTTACACTAATATTTTAGTCTACCTCTATATTTAGAAGCAGAGTGACATCCACTTTCTAAACAGCATGCCTCTGGAAACTATGAACTTCTAGAAGTGACAATAGTTATAGAAAGACTTCAGGTATTTTGTTCACAGGGTCACTATGAGTCATGCTCAACTTGATGGCAATCAACAACAACAGCACTTCTGTATAATTTTAAGTCTCTCATTATGCCTCAAAATCATGTTGAAACACTCTGTAAATTGGAAAACTAAGGACTTTTTAAATGCATTAAATATAATTTCTTATCCCAAGTCCAGGGTTCTCTCAATTTCACATTCTACATTAAGGGCTACAAAACTACAAAACCAAAAAAATAAAAAAGGGTTAAAAAAATAAAAAGGGTTATTATTATTTTTTTTAAAAAAGAGTTCTCTTTTACCTAGCTATTAGAAAGCTCTTTCTGTTGAACTTCCTCTTGAAGGCATCTTTCACCTCCTTGTTCCTCAGACTATAAACTAAGGGGTTCAACATTGGAATTATCACAGTATAAAATACAGAAATGACTTTATTTATGCCCAGGGATGAACTTGAGCTGGGTCGGACATAAATAAAGAAAAGAGTCCCATAAAGGATAGAGACAGCTGTTAAATGAGAAGAACAAGTGGAGAAGGCTTTCTGTCTTCCATCAGCCGACTGAATTCTCAAGATGGCCATCAAAATACAGACGTAGGAGACCATGATTATCAGGCCACTGAGGACTCCTATGGTTCCAGCCAAGGTGAAAAGCAACAACTTATTGATCCAGGTGTCCGCACATGCCAGGGAAAGCAGTGGTAAAATATCACAGAAGAAATGATTGATGATATTCGGACCACAGAAAGGTAAGCAAAAAGCCAATGTTGTATGAGTCATAGTGCTTAAAAGAGCCACAGCGTAAGGTCCTACCACCAGCTGCACGCAGACCCGCTGGGACATAATCAGGGTGTACAACAAGGGCTTGCAGATGGCTACGTACCGGTCATACGCCATGGAAGCCAAGAGGAAACATTCGGTCGCCACAAAGAGACCGAAGAACCACAGCTGCGCAGCACAGCCCAGGAAGGAGATACCTTTTTTCTCCACAAAGATATCGCACAGCATCTTCGGGGCAATGGAAGAAGAGGAACAAACATCCACAAAGGACAGATGGCTAAGAAAAAAGTACATAGGCGTGTGGAGTCTGGAGTCAGTCCATATCAGTACGATCATTCCCAGGTTACCCCACACGGTGACCAGGTAGATGATGAGAAACATGACGAAGAGAGCGAGCTGCTGAGACAGCTCATCTGTGAAACCCAAGAAAAGGAATTCTGTCACTGGCGTTTGATTCTTATCTTCCATTGGTTGGCTGGACTCTGTTATAATAAATACAAGAAAACTTTCATTGTAAAATAAGTCTTTAACAGTTAACAATAGTCTTTTAAGCCAATGACATGTTGTTTTAAGGAGAGCAACTTATAAGGAGATGTGCTGATATAGTGGGTTTAAGCATGGCAGCCAATGGGACAATAAAACTGGATGGAACAAGGTTTCCTCATTTTATACATAGGGTTGCTATCAGTTGGACCAAATTACTTAGTGCCTAACAACAGCAAGAAAAAGAATAATATATAATCATTGATATATTATTTAATTCGGAAACATTATTCCTAGAGGCTAGATTTAGGTCTCATTCTCAATGCTATCAAGTAGGAGTTGACTCATAGCTGACCCTCCATTAAGTTGCCAAGGCTGTAAATCTCACAGGAGGAGATTTCTCACCTCTGTCCCTTGGAGCTGCTGGTGTATGTAATCAAACTACCAGAGAGGCACAACCTTTGGTTTACCAGCACAACTCTTCATGGACTGCACCAGAGCTCCCTTCAATTTAAGTTGTTGTGCTAAAATTCTGTGTAAAATTCAACAATTCAATGTGATTTCTTTGGATTCAATACCTTCTGTTTAAAAAGAAAAGTGTAATCATATGATCTAAAAACTCTTCAAGTTCTAAAATTATGTTTCAAATATGAACTATACTCCATGTTACATCTTATTGTCTGATGAGATAATAAAATCCATTTAACAGTACAAGTACCAGGATTAGTGGAAAAGGGATGAGATGGTTAGAGCTTAACACTAGATATCCAGGAAAGACTAAGCATAAGAATTGTTCTCATGTGGGATGAAGCGTGTCATTCTAATGTTATTAAGACACAATTACATGTATTTATCAATGTCTATATATAATAGTCGTGGTAGTTTATACAATTGACAAAGAGATCATTCATTGTGGAAAAAAGGAGTACAAAATGAATTTTTCATATTTATAAAGCTTCCCTGGAAATGTAAAGTTAAAAGAGCTAAAAACCTTAATTTAGATGATGATAGATTGGAAATAAAAGTGGGAAGGATAGAAGTATCTTTCAATCACATAGTTTCAATAAAGAAAGATTATGCTATAGAAAGAATCAAGAAGTTCTGACAAACATAAGACAGCAAGTTGGCATGAAAATTCAAGTTTATGCTCTGATTTTTACTGAATCTAATTATGTTTATTTTCTAACTGTAATTTCTATACATTAATTAATGTTATCCTAATTCTTCAGTTTATTAAACAATTTAACCTGATTTCTAATCTTTCATAAAAATTATTTAAGGTATTTAAAAAAGATGGTATCAGAAAATATTCATTTACTGTACATAAAATGCAAACTATGTAATATTACGTTCATATAAAACATTTAAAAATTCCAATATTTTGCAATATATACACATAAAACATTAAATATGTAGTATTACATATGCCTAAAACATTTGAAACTGTTTCTCTTATTTTTCAAATAAGATTAAATGAAGCTCTTTGAAATGACTAAAAGATAATGACATGATTTTTATGAAAAGAAATTGAATTTTACATATTTATAACACGTTAAGATAATTTTCACTATAAATGAAATAAAATAGTATCTGTGAATGACATAATTATTAAAGTTTTAAATATTAAATATAATATTTTCAAGTATTTAACAGTGATTATATTTACTGTTATCTGTGAGGAACTTCTCCAGATTACTGAAGAGCAATGATGTCAGTTTGAAGACTAAGGTGTGTATGCTTGATTCAGGCCATGGTCTTTTTAATCACTTGTAGTGCACCTGAGATCTGGACAATGAATAAGAATGACGCAAGAAGAATTCATGCCTTTCAGCTGTGGTGTTGGAGAAGAGCACTGAATATTCTATTGACTGCCAAATAAACAAACAGATACATGTCTTGGGAAAAGTGCAGCCAGAGTGCCCCTTGGAGACAACGGTGGAGAAACTTCATTTCATGCAATTTAAGTATGCTGCTAGAAGGAGCTTACTCCTTGAAATGCAATATAATACTTGGAAAGGTGGAGGGTCACCGAAAGTGAGGAAGACCCTCAACAAGATAGGTTGACGCATGCAGCAATGGACTCAAATGTGCCAAGAGACTGTGAGAATGGCACAGGATAGGACAGAGTTCAGATCTATTTTTTACAGCATTTCTAGAGTTGTACTAGACTCGACAGCACCTAACAACAACGGAAACATATTTAATATTGTCATTATTATTTTGGAGCTCTGGTGGCCTATATGAATTACTAATAATTCATAATTATTATATATTTAACAATATTTTAGTATCTTTTCTGTAGTTGTATAGACAATTCTAGAACTATTTTAGCCAAAGGACTTTTTTGGTTTGTTTATGCCCATCAAAACATACAAAGATAAAAAAAAATTTTAAAAAAAACCACAAAACATACAAAGATAGGTTTTTGGACAGACTGCTTCTTATTTTAGCCTGGTCAAATTAATTATGATGTTTGCAAAGATTACTGAATAAGTCACAAACTTCCAGAAGTTTGAAAAAATATGTCTTAGAAGAAGTACAGCCAAAATTCTCCTTAGAAATGAAGACTTATACTTTGGACATGCTATCAGGATGAGACAATCCTAGCGGACATCATAGTGGGTAAAAAAGATTCTCAGGGAGAAGAACGGACATAGCGGGTATAACAACGGGTTCAAACACAGCAGCAGCTGTGACGGTGCTGCAGGTCCAGGCAGTGTTCTGTTCTTTTGTGCATGTTGTTGTAGTGAGATGTCATTGAGTCAAGTGTGACTCACAGTAACCCTATGAATAACAGAATTGAACCCTGTCCTATCCTGTGCTGTCCTCAGAGTTCCTGACACAGTAGAGCGCATTGTAGCAATCACCATGTCAATTCACCTGGTGGAGGGTCTTCCTCTCTTTTACCAACCCTTCGCCCTTCCCAGAATCATGTTCTTCTCCATGAAACAGACCCTCCTAGCAACGTGCCCAAAGTACGTGAGGTGAAGCTTCATCATTCTTGCCTCCAAAGAGCACTCCAGCTGCACACTCTCCAAGATGTATTTGTTTGTTCTCTTGGCCATCCGTGTGATGTTCAGTACCCTTCAACATTACAGCTCAAACGCGTCAATTCTATTTCTGTCATCCTTATTCACTGTTTAGCTCTCAGGTGGAGAATAAAAATCAGAACCAACTTGCTGACTTCTAACAACGCTTTGTTTGTATTAACACAGAAGTAATTTTGTTTCTTTTATGAAATAAGAAGAATAATATTTATATCTCTTCAGTACATTTAATTTTGTGATCTTTGAAATTGACATAAATTATACAGTACTTCTATATTATGTAAAGTGTACAGGGTATTCTGATCAGAGTAACCCACATGAATTAGTTGTTTAAGATCATAAATATATGAGAAAAATGCCAAAGTTTGCTCAGAGGCCCTGGAGTGGCAAGATTGTGATCCCACATTCAAATTCACTCTGATGTCTCTCTATTCTATTTCAAAACCTTTGTATTACCCAATTTGCTGTGTACTCACGTTTTTAAAAATATTCTTTAGGTCTGTAAATGCTTCAAAGAGAAATATCTTATTTTAGAAGTAAGAATGAAATTGTCAATTTCCTTCACAGTAGTGAAGAAAGGTACTTGATGAAGAAGACAAATTCTCATCTTGATGCCTGGGAAATAGAGAACTATACCTGAGCCGCACAATGATTCACATCTGAGCAGAATAAGGGACATTTCCTTTGCAAATTTTAGTAGAGTAAGATCCCTAATGAGCTGAAAACTCAAGAGCCCACACCTGAAGGGATATAATTAAAGTGATCCCAGTGGCTTTTGGGTCAAGTCTTTTTCCCCAACTAGGTCTTTTATCAAAAGGAGATTTCTAAAAAAAATGTTCTTTTTCCCTTTGGGATATTCCTAGCAAAATAGAAAACCTTCTTTTCCATCACTAGAGAATGATGGTTGAGCAACCAGCATCACCTGGAGTGAAATAGTGTGCTGCTTGGATCCTAAACACACACACACTGCCTGAATGCAAATCTCAATTCTACAGATCATTGAGTCTCTTTGAGTAAGATTTTAAACACCTCCCTGTGCCTACTTCCTCCCATTTTTAAAATAAGGAATCAGTTTCTACCTTCAAAAGATATTATTGTTGTGTACTATCTGGTCAGAACCAACCCATAGTTTATTCTCTAGTGGTATTTCAGAAGCAGTAAATCTCACAAAAGGAGATCGTCTATCTTTCTCCCATGGAGGAGCTGGTGGACTCACACAGCATACCTTTGGGATGGTAGCACAGCTTCTTATCACTATGCCATCAGAACTCCACTCCAAAGATATTACAGAGATTATATAAAATATTTTTAAAAGGGAACCCTGACTCTAATCCAAGTTTCAAAGACTGGGAAAATGTTAATTGTTTTCCTGTGTGTGTATATGTGTATTTTTAGTTTTCTAGAGTTTCAGGAAATCTCTTTCAAAATACAAGATTGGCCACAGTTTGAGAAATGAGTCCTCAGAGTCTGTGTATTTCAAAGAAAACTCTCGCTAAAATAAATAAATAAATAGATAAATAAAAAAGAAAGAAAGAAAAAGGGAAAAAAAGGAGTTAAGAAGATGGATGAGCACACAAATATTTACAGCCTTTAACAATTAGAAAAAAAATTCTTCCAAGCCTGGTAAAGAATTTCAGTCTCACAATTTTCCCATTAAAAATGTTTCCACTGCACATTTCCTACTATAATATTATAATGTGACTAAAAGAGCATATCATAATATTTAGACTCAATTTCAAAAGAAAAGCCAAAGCCTTACAAAGAAACATAAAAGGAATGTCCATTTAAAGCCTCAAAATTAAGCACCAGTTCCTGAGACAAGATTGTTAGAGGACTTTACCATCACTCTGCTGCTAGACACCAAGGGCTGTGTGGCATGGCTGGCCCAGGAGCTCTTCCAGCCACTGCGTCCCCAGCATCAGCTAAAGGCTGTGGCCC